CCCGCGGAGCCTGGGCCAGGTCCACACCGTCCACACTCCACGGGCCACGACCGGGACCGGCCCCCCCGATAGCTCATTCTTCCTATTCCTAGAACCCATTAGCCTTGCGCCCACGGGTCACGGCGCTCAAGTCGTCACGCACATGTGTGTGTACAGCCGAGGCAAAAGACGTTTTATCACGTCCAGTCGCCCAAAAATCGGGCAAATTCTCCCCAGAGACAATAACACTTTCGTCCTTTTCACTTGATCAATATTTCTAATTCTGGCCACGGCTGTCGATGCTGCGGAGAGGCCACAAGAAGCGACGATTGTGGCTAGCATTTTTAATGTTAATGGCCGTATAGTGTTTGGAAACGATTCAAGCTCGCCTGTCGTTAGTTGCCGGTCTTCCTGCACAGGCGCGGTATAAGAGGGGGGCGACAGGGGGGCAACGTACTGTGGGTTGCCTACAGGGGGTTTGTGGTAAAAATTGCCTACCTTTCAGGCGGCTCACTAGTGACTCTAGCTAGAGACGATGGGGGGGGGGCGATCTCTCCCCCCCCCCTTATACAGCGCCTGTTACTGCCTTACTTCTCGGAACTGATATGCGGATTAACCGCGATTAACCGGATTAACGGTCGGATTGCTCGAGTAAAACAGCTAACCAAACAGGGGCATTCTTGAAAGGGCGCATGCCCGGGTGGTCATGCGCCGGGGTCATGCGTCCATGACCCGTGGCCGCTGGACCACGGCCTTTACCTCTCGCGCGCCCCGCCCAGAGCGCCCTCATAGCTCCGCGCCCCTCGCTTTGAGCGGGCGAGCAGGTGTGCCCCGACACTGTTCCCCCGCCAGCATGACGGTCCTTTTGACCTCTGGTCGGTCGGCGCCCCGGGGCGGCGGCGCCTCACTGCTAATGCGATCAGGGGCGCTCGCCCTCTCCAGACAAAGGTCCCTGCAGCCCGCGCCCTGGTGCTGTGCTACACTACTCGAGCGCACCCGCCCGTGAAGGACCTCACCGCCGACGGGCACGGGCCCGGCACCGTAAGAGCGGCCATGCCGGCAAGCCTTGGCCCCGGCACACGCGCTCACGTCCATCCCCCCGAGGGGTCCCCCCGAGGGTCCCCCACTTCCTAAATAAGTAGTTGGCATGTTGGCGAGTTTGCGCGAGTGTATCGCGAGGTGCAATCATTTTTTTGAGAGAGTTTGCCGCAATTTTTCGCGAATTTAGAGCGAGTTTTCGCAAATTTTCACGAGTTTTCGTGAGTTTTGGGGAGTTTTTGCGAGTTTGACGCGAGTTCGACGCGAGTTGGGCGCGGGCAAGTGTACAACGAGTTGGCTAGTGGGGGACTCCTTGCATCCCCACTCCCCCCAGGCAAAACGCCGGTACTAATCCACCTCTTTCTCCTGACCCCAACGGAGACTGCTTCAATTCCCTTCAATGTTTTCGCGACACATTTTTTTTTCCTAT